ATAGATAGATAGATAGATAGATAGATAGATAGATAGATAGATAGATATGGATGGGTCTGTGATTAAATAAGTGTAGGCACATCCTCGAATGGAAGCTCCCTTCATGGAGATCTCTGTGATTTTAAGTCACAGAAAATTGTCTAGGGGTGCTGAGAGAATCAATGACATGTCCATGGTCGCACAGACAGTATGTATCAGACAGGGCTTCAACCTAGATCATCCTCATAGCTAAGACTGGCCTTCTATGCACTACCCCAAGTCTGCCTCTCTGGAATTCCTTATAGGATGTTTTGGGCAGCTTGTGTGTAAATCAACAAAGTACTAGTTGCTAATAATGATTAGAGATAGGTGCTAAGAGTTGATGCATAGTGGGTAAGTTAGACTGGAGGGAGCCAAGGGATTCAGATAGGAGGTAGACAATAGCAATGGAAAGAAAAGAGAGAGCTGAGGGAGTCTGATCAAAGCTAAGGACCAAGGAGAGATATACAATCAGAAGACCCAAGATGAAATTGTCAGGTGGGCAAATGTGAATGCTGAGCTTGAGTCCAAAAAAAAAAAATTCACCCCCTAAAAGGACAAGTTTGCAGTCATTCAAATGGGAGAAAGAACACAGAGGAGTACTTGCAGACCGCTAAATAGATATGAATCAACAATTTGTCATAACAACCCCAAAAGTTAAGGTGACCTTAAACTGAATTAACAGAGGCCAGACTAAGAGAGGTATATTCTACCCTAGACAGACCTGGAGTTTCATGTCCATTTTGATGTTCCTGTATTTTGAAAGGAGCACTGACAAACTAGAGTATATCAAGATTTTGCCCACAAAAACATCAAATAAGGTATTACTGAGAGACAGTCTGAAATAATAGATAGATGGCCAGCTTTGAAGTCAAGTCTTGCTTCTAATAAATACAGATTGTATGATCTTAAGCAAGTTACACTCTCAGTGTCTCGGGCAATTCTCTAAGTCTACATATAAGTTATAGAAAAGATCTCCATGTAGGGAGTTTCCCTGTTGGGAGTTCCTCCACATAGAAGACAGCACAGGTCTGGTTTTAATTTTTTTAGAAAGCATTCTAAAGAGAAATGAAAATAGTTGGGGAATTATTTGGAATGTCTGACATCACTGTAATTCGTCTTTCACATCCCTTTACCCATGTCATGGGGTAGTGGAAAGAGGATGCACATGTGGAGTCAAGGGGTCTGTGCTCTAGTCTCTATTCTCCTACTGGGCAATTAAATCCTCTTTATGGGCCTCAGTTTCCTTGTTTGTAAAATGAGGTGGGGTAGACTAAGTGACTTCTAAGGTTTCTTCTAACTCCTATACTCTATCAATCTCTGATGCTCTATAACAAGGAAAATAATTTTGAATTGACTGGCAGTCATCATATCCCATCTTATCATATTGTATCATATCCCAAAGTGTTTGAATGCTATTTCCCCACCAGGTGTCAGACTTGCAACAGTAAATGCTAAAATGGCTTTTTCTTGAGCTTCCAGACGCAGGAGCTATGAGTTGGTCTGATGAGTGACAGTCTTTCCTAATCCCCTGTGCAGAATTGAGGGTACTAGTCACTTCCACAGGAAGTGCCCCCCTGCCATTTGTTTTCCTACCTTTACCCTAGGATATAGAAAGTTAGGAAGAGAAATTGGGAAGATCATATCTAAAGAAAGCAAAGGAGTCATGACTTTGGATAACCACAGATAAAGTTAGGTTTCAGTTAGAGCATGTAGGATTGTCATTGAAAAGTCTTGAAACAAAATAGTTAAGTTGCAAAAAGTGCAACGAAGGTTTGTGATCCTCCCATTGGAGATCCTGGAAGAACGGGAAGCAATGTCACCCAATGGATAGGGTACTGGACTTGGATTCTGGAAGACATGGGTTCAGATCCCACCTCAAACATTTGCTAGCTGTGTGATCCTGAGCAAGTTGCCTGCCTTCTCTGTGCCTCACTTTCCTCATCTGTACAATGAATCAGTTGGCCTCAATGGCCTCTTAAGTCCCTTCTTATTCTAAATCTGTGATACTATGTTAATAAAAGATCCCCTTGGGAGAAGGGGAACAAGTCTACTGAAGTCAGAAGACCCTGGTTCTAATTCTGGCTCTACTATTACGTGCCTATGTGGCCTTTGCTGGTAGTTTCCCATCTCTGAGCTTCAGCTTCTTCCTCTATAAAATGGGAGACTTGGGAGGCATGATCTTTAAGGACTCTTCAAACTCAAGCATTCTCCATATGACCCTGTGATTCCTCTGGCATAGTCCTACTCTGAGAGAAGGAGATAGGATGATGACTCCAGACCCTTAACCCAGCCCCTCTTATACTCCAGGCTTTGGTTGCACCAAGCCCTCTTTTCCCAGAAGCATGAGTTCTCTTTTGCTCCCCTGATCCCCTCAACCTTCCTAGGCTAAAGGGACTATGGGAAGGCAAACAGTTCTAAAGACAGCTCTGTACTGCTAGGGATATAGGCCCTATTAAAAATATGCAAGAGTATTATTCATTCTGCCATCAAAGGCAGAGATAAGTAAAGTGGGCTCTCTAATCAATGAAAAACAATCCCACCTCTGCCTCCCCCAGTCTGCAATTATCTCCCCTGGATGCATGATGTCACTGCGCAGCTGTGCACATACTTCTAGCTCTGTGGCATGTGCATGTGGGAAGAAGAGGTGAGGGGGAGGTTCTGACAACTATTTCCAGGATCATCTCATCTATTCCAATTGGTCCAAGCTCAGATGACCCACATCCCTGGACACCTTCTCTTCCTAAAACTAAAGGTCCTTGCTTCTCACACCCTCTCCTTCTCTGAGAAGGGCATCTTCCAATCACCTCATTAGTATGGTGCCTGGCTCATGGGAAATGATTAATAAATGCTTATTAATTGCCTGCTCTGGAGCTCCTTCACACTTCACACCCCTTCTGCCTGAGGCAATTTGCATTCTTTGGACAGCCCCTGCCTTCAGGAGAGCCAAGACAGAATCAGGCTCTATATCACACTGAAGGTCTCAAAACTTCCAAAAATCAAATGGGGAACAGGCCCCAGAGATCATTCAGTCCAACCTACATTTAAATATTAATGCCTCTAACAACACCCCAACAAGTAGTCATTCAGCCTCTATGAGAAGACCACCAGTAATGAGAAATGCATAATTATTTTATTTTATTTTTTACATTTTATGTTCTACATTCTTCTTCTTCTTCTTCTTCTTCTTCTTCTTCTTCTTCTTCTTCTTTCTTCTTCTTCCTTTTTTGGTGAGGCAGTTGGGGTTAAGTACTTGCCCAGGGTCACACAGCTAGTGAGTATCATGCATCTGAGGCCAGATTTGAACTCAGGTCCTCCTGAATCCAGGGTCAGTGCTCTATCTACTGTGCCACCTAGCTGCCCTGACAGGTGTAATTCTTGTGAAGTTTTTATTTCAAGTGGACATTTACCTCTCTGAAGTTTCCACTGATCATTATCAGTTCTGCCCACCAAGGCCAAGCAAAACAAATCTAATCCCTCTTTGTTATTACAGCCTTTAAGATACTTTGAGGAAGCATGTTTGAGACTCATCCAACCCCTAAAGTCAACTTTTGATGTTCTGTGCTAGGAGAGATGGAGCAGGGCATGCTAGCCACCCCCCAAGAGAGATGATCTAAAAGTATTTCTACGGAGCTCTAAGATATATCACGGTAAATGGTACCAGAGTGTTACAATTATTTGGCTGGGTTAAGATTGAAATGCATTTCTAAACACAGAATGAAGATAAGCAGGTCTTGGAGAGAACAAGAAAACCATCCCAAGATTAAATTTTTGCGCTGGACAAGCTACAGCTGGAGAATCATGGGGTAAAAGAGATTGACCAACTCACTTTCTCTATTTGGAGCTCTGTCTCTTTATCTGTGAAGTTCATAGAGTTGGAGTAGGGGATCTTTGAGGTTCCATCCAACTTGACCTGGCTAGCATTCCCTTGGGACTCCTTGCTGGTTGGTCTGTACTCTTTTATCTTCCAATATTTATCAAGTATGTGGTCTGTACCATGGCCTATCTGCCTGTGTTGTATCACGACAAGCTCTCCTCTCTTCAGGTCATGTTGTCCATTGTATGCAAAAGTGATGCTTCTGGTCCAACACCTGATGTTTGCCAGGCTCTATCCATTCTCCATCTTGTAACAATACCAATAACAATACCTTATAGTTCACATTAAGAAAAAAAAATCACATTCACATATATTACTCAAATGAGATATTACATATAAAGTGTTTTACAGACCTTAAACCTTCTATATAGAGTTTAACTATTGTAACTATTCTTATTACTCCATTTGACACTTCTAACAATCCTGTGAGAGAAGGGTGATTAGCCCCATTTTACAGATGAGAAGACTCAAGCTCTGATCTTAGGTAGCATCAAACCAGGCAAAGCCCAGCTCTATACTCTGTGCCAGGTAGACCACATCTAGAATACACCTTTGGACTAGGACCAATTACCATATTTTACATCATTATTCTTTCAAATGGTGCAAATTTTAATACATGAATCCACTCCACAGCATTCATTATTTGTACTCATCAGGACCTGGCTGTATGGTGTTCTATTCCAGGTGCCATATTTTAGGAAAGGCATTCTGAAGCTGGAGCATATCCAGGGACTTCAGCCAGGAAAGGGAAGGGCTCCAAGCTCATTCCATATGAGGACAGGTTGAAGGAATTGTGCTTGCTTAGACTGGAGAAGAAAAGACTTGGGAGTAGGAAGGGTGGGGCACATGATAACTATCATCCTGTGTCCCAACAGCTATCATAGGAAACAGGGTTCGATTTTTTCTGCTTTGCCCCAACAGGCAGAACTGGGAGTGATGGAAGGATGCTGCAAAGAGACAGATTTAGTATTTATGTAGGGAGAACTTCCTCATAATCAGAGCTCTTCAAAAGTGGAGCGTGCACCCTCAGGTGATGGTGGATTACTTGTTACTTGATGTATTGAAGCAAAGGCTGAACAACCACTTTTCAGGAATGTTATAGGGGAAAGATCTCTTTTCAGGTGAGATTTGGACAAGACGTCCCCTCATAATTCTGAAATTCTGTCATCTGAGCAAGTGGACTTCAGAAAAACCTGGAAAGACTTGTATGAACTGATGCTGAGTGAAGCGAGCAGAACCAGGAGAACATTGTACACAGTAACAGCCATGTTATGTGATGACTAACTTTGATATACTTAGCTCTTCTCAGCAATGTAAAGATCTAAGATATCTCCAAAAGTCTTATGATGGAAAATGATATCCACATCCAGAGAAAGAACTATGGAGTTTGAATGCAGATCGAAGCATACTGTTTGCTCTTTTTTTTTCTTCTGTTTTGTTTTGTTTCTTCTTTCTTGTGTTTCCTCCTACTGGTTCTAATTCTTCTTTACAACGTGACTAATGTGAAAACATGTTTAATAAGAATGTATATGTAGAGCCTATATCATATTGCACGCTTTTTGGGGAAGGACGCGGGGAAGGAGGGGGAGAAAAATTTAAAACTCAAAAGCTTATGGAAGTGAATGTTGAAAACTAAAACTAAAATTAATTAATTAAAAAAAAAAGAAATTCTGCCATCCTCTAGAGGTTAAGTGACTCATCCAGCACACAGAGTTAGAAAATAGCGGAACCAGGATCATTCCATGCTCTCAGGGCATTTCCCTAATTCATTAAATGAAGAAATTGGACAAGGTGATCTTTAAAGTCGTTCACAGTTCTATGACCTGAACCTTGCTCTTCTAAATACAAGCCCAGTAGTATTTCTACTATGCTATGGAGGCCTGTGGAAGAGACTAAGGCAGATTGGCCCATATTGGGTTCAAATGCATGACCTTTGTCTCTCTAACCCAGTACCCTAATCCCCTGAGCTAGACAGGATACATGACTGAACTTGTGCCTTCCTTCTTGGCAGACCCCTCTGGCTGCCCATGATTTGCTTCCTTGTTAAAGAGCTCTCCTACATCCATGTACAGATACTAGTTTTGAGAGAGAAAGGTCACTCTGACTTTTACGAAATTTCCTATGTGAACACTGAGGCAAGAAAGGAAGGCTGAGTAGAAAAAGAATAGAAAAAAAAATTTTGAAATGGGATATTACTGATATTTAAGAAGAACGAAAACTCTTGAATTCTAAAGTAGCTTAATCAGTGAGATTCAGAGTCCTACTCCTGTGTGAACTGGAGTAATATTAATAATAATTAGTTGTATTATATCATATCACCTCAGAATATCCTCATATGTAAAATGAAAATGAGGTTTGTCTTTCAGGCTCTAATATTCTGGCTTTCTGTACTTCTGTGACCCTACAGTTAGAAGAGAATTCTTATGGGAGTATCTAAATTCTTCCCCTCCCTCAAAATTAATCCCAGTTGCTTATGGTCTCTCATTTGTCTCCACTACAGGCTTTCTCCTTCACACCAGCAGCACCCACTCTGACAGCAGTGGCTTCATAGAGGATCAGACTCTTCCACCTCCCGATCTGTCATCTGAGAAGGTTTTCCAAAGGATCTAGTCCCTAGCTTCAGGGGCCTCGGGCCACCTGATATGAACATAGCAAGGCCCCAGAGAGGGCAGAAGGTATCTGGACAGAAGTTCCTGCTCCTTGCCTATGAAAAAAGGGAAAGGTGGAAGGGCTGGTGAAAGCTGTACCTGGGGAGCAGCATGCTTAAACCCTAAATTTGGGAACTGGGGGAATCAGTTGGGGGTGGGAAGAGAGGGTCTAAAGGAGACTTACAGTTTCAGTCATCAACTAGTCTACAAATACTTGCAAAGATATTATGCCATAGAGGAAAAGGACCAATTCATGAAGCCATCTCCCAGACACAAGTTCCATTTGACTCTACTCATGCAGATATTCAAATAGCATCCCCTTCTGTCATATCACTGCAGACACTTGTGCATAGGAATGATCCCAGGCAGGAAGAGAATTAGCCCTGGGAGCCTTATCCCTAACAGTTCCCACCTGAGGTAATGTCAGACACCCATGATGATAGACAAAGTCATTCCTGGAAGAACATGGAAGAAGATATTGTTCAAGGATGAAGCTGTTACTGACATCATGACAAAAATTCATCACCATCACCAAACCCTTCCATGGTCTCTGTGCCCAGACCTTGGGCAGCTCACAACATGGCCAGGCACACAAGGTTCCCCAGGCATACAAAGAACACCAGAGAACTTGGGGATATATAGGGAAAGCCACACAGAGATAATGTATATCTGAAAAAGGATCGCATATGCACAACATGTGTGTATACATATAGGAATGTGTATGTATATAGCATATATTTATATGTATATATGTATACACACATATATCTATATACACATATATTGCTTTTAATCAGGAAGACTTATCTGCAGGAGTTCAAATCCAATGTGACACCTACGAGCTATGTGACCTTGGACAAGTTACTTAACCCTACTTGCCTCAGTTTCTTCATCTGGAAAATAAGCCAGAGAAATAAATGGCAAACCACTCCAGTATCTTTGACAAGAATTGGGGTCATGAAGAGTCAAACATCACTGAAACAACCCAACCACAACTATATACATATATATATATATATGTGTATATATATATATATGTATATATGTGTGTGTGTGTGTGTGTGTGTGTATTGCAATTTGATCAAGAGTGATTTAAATAAAAAAGGGAAGGGGAAAGTTGGGGGAGAGGGGAGGTGAGCAGGGAAGAGGGACTATTCATCTACAAGCCATGCAGAAACAATCGAACTCTGGAGCTGACCTGTTATGCCAGAGGAGGTTTCACCTAATTTTGTTTGTTTTATTTTCTCTCTTGTTTCTCATTCTAAAGGAATTGTCTCTAATCATAGCATTTTATAAACAGTAGTGCAGAATCCCCACTTCTATCTACTGGCTATAATTGGCCACAGAGAGAGAGGGAGGGAATATCCCCTTCAGAGCTACTGCCTACATTTGCTGCTTACAGTTCCCAGGCTTCCTTAGCGTTATAACAGTTTCTCAATTTGGTCAGCCCACAAAATGCCCCATTGTCTCCTGGAGCATCCCTCCTCGAGGTCTGTGGCCACAAAAACCCAATGACATAGGTTGGAGTAGGATTTTTCAATGAGATCAGGTATTCTGAGTGATCCTCTCCATTCTTTTCCCTTTGTTCTCGTCCAAGGTGCAAATGAATCCCAGCATACAATGGAGACTATAAAAATATTATTATTCTCCATTTTACCTGCCAGGTGAGAAGGGTGAACTATGGAGAGCTAGGAACTACCTCAGTCATTGTTTAACAGATCATCCACAGTGAGCCCTAATATCCAGCCTCTCTGCAACCCCAGATCCTGTGTCTGCTTAAGAAAAGGTGACCTTCCTCTGAGTGATTCCCACCTACTGGCACTTGTAAAATTGAAAGGAATTTTCTGAAAGCAGAAAAGAAAAAGAAAAAGAAAAACTTAAAAAATCTGATGTATTTTCTAGGAAATTAACCAGAATGTCTTATCTCTGGAGGAAATTTTTTTTTTAATAATAGAACCCTTATGTGGGCCATGATCACTGTCGTCCCATTTGTGAAGTACTGTCATCTAGAACAGGAATTAGGCTTATTTCATGTCTCTCTAGAGCACAGAGGGTGGAAGTTACAGGAGAGAAAATTTCAGCTCAACATATAAAAGCTCCCTATAATCATCAGAGCTGTCAGAAAATGGAAGAGACTCTGGAAGTAATGTCAAATGAAAGTAGCTGAGCAAAGCCTCTGACTCGATGACCAGCTGTCAAGGGCATTGCAGAAGAGATTTGGGCATTAGGTCAGAGGATGAACCAAGTTACCTTTAAGACATCTGCCAACTTTGTGATTTAATGGGCCTATGATATGAAGATAATATAGACTCTCTGAGGAGAAGGATTGTTTTATATTTTTGTCTTTATAGCTCCAGTTCCTGGTACAGTACAGAAATCACAAATACTTATGGTTATTGGTCCTCATCATCTACAAATGTTTATTAAATCCCTATTATGTGTAAAGCATTGATTCTACAGAGGATATGATCTCAGACCTCAAGGAGCATACAGTCTAATGATTCACAGAGAGAGAGAAGAAAGAAAAGAGGAGAGAGAGAGATGGGGAGAGAGACAGAGAGGAAGAGAGGGAGGGAGGAGAGGGCGACAGAGAGTGAGAAAGAGCAAGAGAGAAGGAGAGAGAGCAGAGACAGAGACAAACAGAGAAAGAGAGAGCACATTCATCATAGGCAGGGAAGGCTTCCTGGAGGAGGTGGGCTTTAAGCTTAAAACTGAAGAACAAATCAGGTTACCACAGCCAGAAAAGGATGGGAAAAAGTCTTGAGACCTGATAGAATCTTTGCTAAGTGACATGGGCAAGGACACTAGTTCCTCCCTTAAAATAAGAGTTCTCACTTGTCTAGGTTGAATATGTTGGTGCTTAGAAACAAAATGGACAAGATGACCTCTCCCGATTTGTTCGCCAGGCTGAGAATGAAATTGCAATGACTCCCTGAGGAACGATCCTACTTGTCCCTCACACTTTCATATGCAAGTGCATAAATAAACAAGGCAGTGTATTGAGTGATGCTCCCTCTTGCTCTTCTAATCTCCAGTAAGTGATGGAGGGTTTTGAGAGACAATCAGTTCTCCCCTTCCTTTCTTTCAATCCTAGGAGGACCAGTTCAGTAGTAGAGACCATCCCTACTCCCATGTGCTGAAAGAACGAGATGTATGGTGTAGTTGTGAAAGGACCAGCCAGATGTGGACACAGCTGGGGACTGTCTCTTCAGGAGTGAATGGTGGGACTTAGTCCCAGATCTTTTCAGACATGGACAGCATCCAGGCCTTGAACTAGTTCCCACCACAAAAATCCTCCTCTGATGCCTCATTGTGATATGGAGGTAACCCTGAGATTTAAAAGGCTATAACACCAAAGTGTAAGCTCTGGAAATTCCTATTCTGATGATGAATTAGTTATTAATAGCATGCACTTATATATTTCTTCCCATTTTACATGGATGATCTCACTTGTTTATCATAACAAAAAATAGCTCTTATTATTCCCATTTTAAAGATGAGGAGATTGATATTTATCATTATCATTAATAGCATGCATTTTTATATATTTCTTTACATTTTGCATAATGACATCACTTGTTTATTATAACAAATGGTATTATCATGATTCCTGTTTTAAAGATGAGGACACTGAAGTTTGGAAAGATTCGGAAGCTTCCTTGGCCCCATAGCTAACATAACGGGAACCCTGGTTAACGCTGCTCCTTATTTTTCCTGAGAACACAGCAGAACTACTAAATAAGCCAGAGCTGCAGCAGGAGGAAGTAAAGCTAGACAAAAGAGATGACTGTCCCACCCCTCCCACCCCTCAAAAGGGAAGGATGTTGCCTGGGATGATCAGAAGCAACTATGCAAGGTCTTAAACCTAACAGAGGCTTTATTTTTTTTTCCGCTTGGCTGAGTTGAATGTATTCCTGCCTAGAGGCAAGATGGACAAGATGACCCCTCCTGGTTTGTCCCCAGGCTGAGGAGGATGAAATTGCAATGACTCCCTCAGGCAAAATGTAGGTCATCTAGCAATTCCTGGCTCCCACAGCCTCTCCTCTTCCCATACAACCCCTCCTCACTTTCCACCCCCCTCCTCGAAATAGAGAGAAATCTTGGAGAAAAATGAATTCGAATTAGAATCATTTGCTGCAGGGACAGTGATGCTTATGGTTCTATTCTTAGCTCAGGAACAAAGGCTCCCCTCTCTTCTTTTTCTCCCCCTCCCCTCTCTTTCCTCCTCCCTCTCTCCTTCCCTTGCTCTCCCAAGGTTTCCCCCTCCTCACTCTCTCTTCTCTCCTTCCCTTCATTCCCCATAAGTTCCAGTTCCCTCCTCCTCTCTTTCCTCCTCCCTCTCCCCTTCTCCGCTTGCTCTTCCAAGTTTTCTCCCTCCTCCCTTTCTTTTCCCTCCTTCTCCTCCTTTCTTTCCTCCTCCTTCTCCCCTTCCTCCCTTGCTCCCCCAAGTTTTCCTCCACCTACCTCTCTCTTCTCTTCCCTTCTCCCCTCCCTCTTACTCCCCCAAGACTTTCTCCTCCTCGCCCTTGTGCAGATAGAGTTGCCTCAGCCCCCAAGCTGAGCTGAGAATCTGGGAGAGAGGCTCAGGATGCACATGCGTGGGGAGCTCCCTGTGGAGGACGGCAGCATCCCCAGAGTTCACCCTTTGGTACTTCCAGCAGGAAGGTTTGGGAGGCCTCTCCACCCATGCTTGCAGATGACAGATTAGACCCAAGGCCATGGGTTCAGTTAATGGGAGAGCTGGCAATCCAAACATTCTTTAGAGCAATCATCTCTCTCCACAGTGAGATGTTTAATTGGTGGGCAGTGTTTTAGAAAATTAGTCTTATGATTTAGTAAGCACACCCAAGTGATACACTCGCTAAAGCCAAGTGTTAGAATAAACTGAATTTAGAACCGGACCTTTCAAATGCTATATGTAAAATGTTAAAGATTTTCAAAAATAGTGAAATGTATTGAATCACATTGCTCTCACACACAAATTATTCATATTAATACAATTAATTGGTACTAATTATTAATAGTAATAGTTGAATGAGTACAAAAAGGCCTTTCATAATATTCATAAGCAAGACAGGGATAGGGCCTGGATCTATGAGTTCATTGGCATAGGGAACTCCCGGATGAGAAAATTTCCTCTACCAATTGAATCTTCCCTGTAATTTATAGTTTTGCCCAGGGTCATTCTGTCACATGAATCCAGGTCTTCCTGGCTCAAAAGAGTTTTATATTTGAGCCTGGAGGTGATGGGTAGCCACTGTCAAAGGTGAAAAACAAAGGAGTTTGTGAGGTACAAAGTCATAGAATCATATTCAATTAAAAGGGTCCATAGATGGCATTGACACACACACACACACACACACACACACACATAGATGTCTTACAGATAAGGCTATTGAGGGTCAGAGACATTAAATGACTCATAATGAGAGGCTTTACATGTAGAGAGGCCTTATGTGTAGACAGGGCTGTCCCCACTGCCCACAGCATAAAGGGGAGTGTCACTGTGTGAAGGGAGGCAGACAGATATCTCTAGCCTCTTCTCCCCAAGCCTTCTGCAAGGGAGACTAATTCCTGCTGGGGGATAGGGAGGAGCAAGAAATTGGGGCTGAAAGACACTCTGCTCTCCTCAGAGAGGATACTAGGCTAGAATTATACTTATCTGCTCTTTGAAATATTGTTAGTCTAGGGGGTATGATTAGAATCAATCTAACTTCTGATTGCTTTGGCATTATTGGGGGA